TTTTGTATTTATTTATTGCAAATCTTGCGTTAAATGCCTTTCAAAGTAATGAAAGGGTTTTGTTGATGGATGATTACATTTTATCCTTCCATGCTAGCAGTACCTGCTGAGTTGACAGGCCTTAAATTTTTTTAATTTGCTTTATTTATGAGTTCTTATATGTAAAAAATTTGTTTTTTAAATTACATTTGTTTTTGTTTTTTTTTTTGATTAAATACTTATAATATTTTGTCAATAATTGATAACAACTACCATAAATATATAAACAATACTTAGTTGAAAATATTACATTAATTTATAACTTTAGTTTAAGTTTTTAATAAAACTATGTCATCTTAACACAATGCTATATATGGCAGAAAATAATAGATTATAGTATTATGCTCTGTATTATTTGCTTACACTTTATTTTAGATAAGTTTAAAAAAGAAACTTCAATTTTTATTATATTAGGCATCATTTTTACACACTCCTTTGATGCCTAATTATGTCTAATAATTTAAGAAATGAAATTATTAGACTTCGTCAAAATGAAAGAAGGCAGGCTAGGCGAGCTGAGATAAACCGCCGTCGAAATGAAAGAGATGAGCCCAGGCGAGCTGAGATAAATCGTCGTCGAATTGAAAGAGATGAGCCCAGGCGAGCTGAGATAAATCGTTGTCGAATTGAAAGAGATGAGCCCCGGCGAGCTGAGATAAATCGTCGTCGAATTAAAAGAGATGAGCCCCGGCGAGCTGAGATAAATCGTCGTCGATTTGAAAGAGATGAGCCCCGGCGAGCTGAGATAAATCGTCGTCGAATTGAAAGAGATAAGCCCCAGCGAGCTGAGATAAATCGTCGTCGAATTGAAAGAGATGAGCCCCGGCGATCTGAAATAAATTGTAATCAAAATGAAAGAAATCAGGCTAGGTGAGAACTTAATAGGTATAATATGCATCGCATAGCAAGAAATAATATTGCTATAGAGAGTAACTACCTCAGAGAATTAAACCATAATTGTCAGTATTGCAGTGCAAAGAAGTTTTTAAATGAAACTCATTTTTTGTGCTGCCATTCAAGAAAAGTTGTATTAGCTCCTCTTTCTCTTTATCCGCCATTGTTGACTGGTTTAATGACAGGAAACCATGTTGATCATGCTGTAAATCAAAATTTTTTTAAACACATAAGGAGTTATAATTCCTCTTTATCTTTTGCTTCCTTCACTGCCGAAATAGCTCCTCCCTCAAATAATGGCCCTTTCTGTTTTAGGGTCTGTGGGCAAATTTTGCATCGTGTTGGAAATTTAAGGCCTGCAGAAGGTTGTCTGCCCAAATATTGTCAGCTGTATATCTATGATCCTAATGCAGCTTATTACATTGATTGATTGTTTTTATTGCATTTTTAATTTTCTTTTATTTATCTCAGCTGCTGCTTCTTCTGTTACAAGTAAGTTGTTCTATTCACTTATACTTGACTTAATTTATGGATTAATTGGTTTTATTGCATTTTTAACTTTCTTTTATTTATCTCTAGCTGCTGCTTCTTCTGTTACAAGTAAGTTGTTCTATTCACTTATACTTGACTTAATTTATGGATTAATTGGTTTTATTGCATTTTTAACTTTCTTTTATTTATCTCTAGCTGCTGCTTCTTCTGTTACAAGTAAGTTGTTATATTCACCTTTACTTGACTTATTACATTGATTGATTGCTTTTATTGTACCTTTTGTTTTTTAATATAGCTACAAATGTGCTTTCCAGTTTAATTAGTTAATGTAATAAGTCAAGTATTAGTGAGTAAAATAAATAAGTTGTTGTGCTCACTTGTACTTAATTTATTACATTATTTGCTTTTATTGTTTTTTTACAGTAGATTTTTTGTAAGTATTACCTAGGTAGATAGTTGTATTTATATATAATTTTTTTTTTCAGGCTCGAAGTCATGGGAAGATTTCCGAAAGTATCGCTCCCAGCATCCAGGCCCTCTATCTATGAGGGCCTTCCATCGCTGGTGTTTGTATGGGGACGACCATCCCTCCTTTAGATGGAGGGATGGCACACCATACAACACGGGGAATAGAGCGGATGCTGGGAGGAGAAGACAACGTGGCTCAAAAGTTGTCAATAATTTTTTTACATTTTAAAATGTAAAGAAATTGACAACTTTTGAGCCACTTCATTTTTTTTTGTAAAATATTTTTGTAAATTTATTTTTGTTGTTTTTTAATTTTTCCCATGAATGTTAAATGTTATCAAAGTAAATCATTTAAATAAAGACACCTTTATCAACAATGCTCATTAACTAGAAATAAAAGTCACGGTCATACATTTGATAAAGTTAATGTTAATCTCAAAGGGATTTGGTTTTCACACAATCAAATTCTATGTAGCACCTTCCAGAACTAAGAATATAAGTGTGTGGTGTTAGTAGTTTAAAATATGTATAATAAACTCAGAATAACTCAATAACTCTCAACAAAACTATGAACTAATTTTGAAATTCAAGTTGAGCTTTTTTATTCATTAATACCTCCCCTCCCAATAACTCTAATTTTCCTTAAAAAACTAATTTTTTTGTCCTTTGAAGGTGGTTCTGCTATTTAATTAATTGTTGTGATGTTTTATGCAAATATATTTAGCTCACATTCATGTTGGTCTGTCAGGGTTATGTAAAAATAAAAAAGTAAGTTTCTTATTCGCATATTTGAGTTTTCAAAAGTATTGATTGCATGACATGTTAATTTGTAATTAATGTGTATGATTATTCGTTTAAATAACTTTGTTCCATTTTTAGTTCCGTTTCTTATAGCTGACTTGATTATGGCTTACCTAAAGCTTAATATTTATGAAACAATGATTCAATTTAAATTGTATTATAAGTAGCTCTGTTGAATAAATTTTTTTTTTGTAATTTGTACTAAAGGTTATATTTTTATTTTATATCAAGAAAAATATGTTTTTAAGTAAATATCTGTATTTTTTTATTTAGGGATTTATTGTTTTAAATGGATATAAAAATCATTTTTGCTTTGTCTTTCATATTTCCTTTTATTATATATGAATAGGAACCATTTATGCTTTAATCACCATTAGCACTCGAAGTTTCCATTTGCATTAAGTATCGATTTTTGGCACACACAACAGGTTTAATAACTTAGGCAGTAAAAACAGCTTGAATGATTTGTTAAGAGTCTTTAAAGAAACGCTTTTACGAAAAGCATTAAATAGATAAAGCTAACTTATTTAAAATAATAAGTCTTTAACCCGTTTTTCTATATCCAAATTTACTTTTTAAATAAATGTTGATGAAAGGGTAAAATATCGTTATAGCCTACGTTAATTTTAAATTCTTTTTAAATTAAAGAAAAGAGTTTTGATACTTATTTAAATAGGGTTAATAAAATATTTTAAATTATATTATATATATTATATTTAAGAAATTATTAAACTAAATTAAATAAGATTTTTAGATGAAACAGTAAAAATAATTGTTTAAAATACGTGCGTGCAAATAATTCCTACAAATACTAAACGTAAAATAACGCTTACAAACACCAAAAATATGTTTGCAGTGAATAAAGTTAAGTTCAAAGATAAATAGGAAGAAATGTTTAAAACTGTTTCAATAATAACATTTATTTTTAATTTTGTTGTAAGTTGGGATGAAAAAAAAAGGTCACTGGAGTATGAACTCCCGGGGTAAGATGACTATATCTGTCTAAGTGTTGCGCGTCTACCAATTAGCCCATAAACGTATTTTCTATTTAGAATTTAAGATTATTTATGACGCATAAGAAGTGTAATTAAAAATTCAAAACCAAGTTTGCAACAACTGAATTTAAATAAAATCTAATTAGATGTGTATATGTTATGAACGTTAACTAAGGCGTACTTTAACGGCGTCACGTGTTGAATGTTTTAGCATTTTTCTAAGTTCGTAGTCTTTTTTACGTTTTTTCTTATTAAAATTTTTATAATCGGCATAATATTAAAATCGTTTGAAGTTTTTAAAAGAACATCTTAACAGAAATGTTTTTGTCATATCAAAAAGTAAGTATAGTTTTTTATATGTACATTTTTAAACGGTTTTAAAAAAATATTGAGGTAAGGAATAAGTATAAAAAAAGGTCGGTGTGGAATAGATTTACTAAGACCCTTAGTTTACGTCCGGATAGCTATAGATAAGTATAAAAATGGTCGGTTCGGTAAAGACCCGTATTTTACGGGTCACCCCAGCTAGTTTATTATTATTATTACCTTAGGCGATTTTACGGGTGTGTGTGCGTGACAGAAAAAAAGTAATACATTATGGTTTTAAAAAAAGTTAATCCTTCAAACTTTGTGACTCGATTTTCAGACCACCTGAGTTACTTATTTCTTTAGTTTGTGTTTTAAACAGACTAAACACTAATTAAAGAACTAAGCTTGTAGTCACTTCTTGTTGTTCTGCTTTTAGGTAGTTCAGACATGCTATGATTTCACTATAAATAATTTTGTAATTGGTAAAGCTACAGTTACGCGGCCTAAAATAATTATATTTTTGCCAGGGGGTTTTGCTACATCGACTGACAAATAGCCTGACTCGCAACGGAGTGCTGCTACATCGACTGACAAATAGCCTAACTCGCAAGGGAGTGCTGCTACATCGACTGAGGGTTTGGCATGGGGAAGCAATCTTTTTTCATTTATTATATCGATGTAGCAAAACCCCCTGGCAAAAATATAACTATTTTAGGCCGCGTAACTGTAGGATTACCTTGTAATTTTTTAAAATTAGATTCACCCTATCATTTTATTTACTACAATATCAAAGCTGGAATTTTTTTCGTAATTTATTTGGTACGGTTCTTAAGTTTTTAGAACAGTTTTTTTTCTCTCGCTTCTTCCACGTAGTTTGCTTTATTCAAGAAGGCATTTTATTTCTTTGCATCGACTTTAAATTAAGTCTTACTCCTATGTTTTTTTCTTATTGTGCTTCCATTACTAATTGTAATAACTTTTTTCATCTTTTCCATCACAAAAACTTAACAGGCGTCATTTTTTAATTGCAAAAAATTGAAACAAAAACGTATTTTCTAACGCTATAGTAAACTATATTGTTAATGATTTTTAAGTAAACTTATTGTAGAAATTTGCAGTGTCCGGTGTGGTTTGAAACTTTAGTTTACCCGTTTCCATAAGCCCGATTTTATTGACGGTGTCGACAATATTTAATTATTATATTCCTTAAACTTTTGTTGTTTACTTTTACGATCGTTAGGAACATTTATAATGAAAGTTTGGTCTACTTTTTGTAAACTTATACAAAAGCAAACGTATTCATGTCTCTCCAAAAACCATGGTTTGTTGTATGCATTTACTGGGATTTGCATTATACTTGTGTCAGCTTTTCATTTTGGTGAAGTTGTTTTACAATGGAATATGATGCATTATGCTGGGAACTTTAAATTTAGCCGTTATTATGATAATATACATGGGCGTTCGTTTGAAACTAGACTTTGCTTACCACAACCAATAGATGTTGTTTACACTTGGGTAAATGGTAGTGATCCAAACCTAATTGAATCGTTAATTCAGTATAAAACAAGTCTGTTGTCTGTAAATAATAAAACATTAAAAGAAGTTACACCTTCAACTTTTAAAATATTCAATTGGAAGAATTCAAGTATTTGTCCCTATAAAAACTGCTTTTTCGCAAATAAGATAGCCCTTTCTGGTTTGCCAAAAGATATTGGTTTGACTGACCTCGCTGTTCATCTAAATAAAAAATTTAGTTTGGCAAAATCTTTAGAACATTTTGGAAATGTGGCTATTGTTTCATTTGATCATAAAGATGATGTCACAATGTTGATGAGTTCAAAGCTAATATATCAAAAAGTGCATTTGAATTATAGTGAAGTATTTTATACTGATATACAACAAGAGGATCAAAAAATTTCTGCCCTTATGGTAAAATATTTAAATAATGAAGATAACAATTCCATTGCAAAAAACATAGAATTAATATTACCTTATTCTGTAAAAGAAGTTATCAATTTTGTGAAACAGAAAGTTGCAATAGTTTATTTAAAAAAACATAAGTATGTACAAATGTTGATAAATGAGAGAAATGTTTCCTCTTTATACTTTTTTAATGTTTCACTAGTTTGGAAACCATTAAGTTTTTTACCTGATGATAGAAATGAAGACTTAGCATCAAATCGATTTGCTGATAATAATGAGCTTAAATATTCCTTACGTTCTATTGATACATTTGCACCTTGGGTTAGAAAAATATTCATTGTAACTAATGGTCAAATACCAAATTGGTTAAATTTAGATCACCCTAGAATTCAATTAATAACACATGAGGAAATATTTGCCAATAAAAGTCATCTGCCTACTTTTTCTTCACCAGCTATAGAATCCAACATCCACAGAATTCCAGGATTATCCAAAATATTTATTTATATGAATGATGATGTTTTTTTTGGAAAAGAAGTTTGGCCTGATGATTTTTATACTCATTCAAGAGGTAAAAAGGTTTTTCAAGCTTGGGCAGTACCTAATTGTCATGAAGGCTGTCCTTCCTCTTGGTTAGGGGACAAGTACTGTGATAGAGCATGTAACTACACTGAATGTGAATGGGATGGTGGTGATTGTATCAATGTGAAAAACAGTGTAAACTCACTTATTCATTCTATGAATGCTAATGGAAATCAGGTAGTTAATAGTTACTGTTCTAATGGATGCGCAAATAGTTGGCTTGGAGACAGATACTGTGATGGTAACTGCAACACCATTGAGTGCGGTTTTGACGCAGGCGATTGTGGCACACGAAATTTTGATAAACTTTTTTTTCATAAATTTTCTTTAAAGCAAGTATCAAGTAGTGAAGAAATATTCATTAAAGTTCCATCAGGTAGTTTGGCAATGTTTCTTAACTTGACAGATGTGTTTGAAGATATAATTGAAGGAAATTACCAATCAAACAATCTTCTAAGAAGTGCTATTCTTGGTAAAAAGTCTAAATTACTTTCTCTTACTTTTTTTAAAAACTTTTCTGAAGAAAACATAACTTTTCAGGTTCTTGGATATAAAGGTGCAAATAATACCTATAAAGGAGTTTTAGTATTTACTTTGACAGTCAATACAAAGGTTGAAGAGGCTTTTAAAAAAGAATTAGATGAAAAACCTGAACTGTTTACAAGTTCGTCATACCCAAAAAAGTTGTACAATAGTTCATTATACCCTATTATAAAAAAAAAAGAAAATACAATTATTGAAAAAGTAAACTTCGAAAACTTAACTTTATCCAATCCTTTGAAAAATAAGCTACAAATTCTAGAGCAAGAATATTTGGATGGTGAAATTACAGAATTTGGTTTAGATAGAATCAAAAATCAATTGTACAAAGATTATTTGCACGAAACAATGGTAAATAACTTTATTAGGCAAAGGTATTTTTTCAATAGTTATGGTATGAGCATATATTTTATATACTTATATGTATTTTTTCAGTATGGTATGGTAGGGAATGTTT